AGCGCTTTGTTAGAAACCACATTAGAATCAGCCAATCACGCGGCAGCAGAGCGGTGCGCGACACCCAGCAGGCGCTTCGCCCAATGATGACATCATACTCCAGAAAATAGGAATAAATGTGAGGTTTGTGTCAGCTGTCCTGGTTTGAGTTTTACTGAACCTGTTGATCACCCGGGACTTCCGGAAAATCTGCATTCATACCGATGCTCAGAAAACAGAAGCCACACAGGTTTACCGGTAACCGAAGTCAATATTGATTGTTCAGTTTTGTTATTTGTCTCTCGACGTGAACCGGGGAAATCCCAAAGAAATCCACGCTGTGAAATCAGTCAGAATCAGAATACTTTATTAATCACGGTGTGTGGGTGAGGTGGAGGGATAAATGAAAATATCAATATGATATAAAATATGAAGCTAGAAAAATGTAAGCAACATATATAAAAATACGTTTAAAAAGGGCCACATTCAAGGTACAGTAAGTTAAAATAAATACTCCAAAGTTTAATGATACTACGGACAATAAACACAAGATATGGCGAGTCTAAACAGTCCAGATGTCATAGTGGGTAGTTGTAACGTTTGATGGCTCCTGGCAGGAATGAGTTCCTGTGCCATTCTCTGCATCAGGATGAACACAGAGTACTTGAGCCTCCGGTGTCTGCACATGGAAACAGTGCCAATAGAGCTGTAATTCTCTTAATGTCCACAAACAGCTGAAGACTGTTCTGGTTGTACTATGTATTACAGTTACCCACCACAGCCCCGTGCTCCTTGCTTCTGATACATAACACTGCTGCAGAGTTCAGGAGACTGCTGAAGATGTAGCTGAAGTCTGCAATGTAGAGGCTGAAGAGGAAGGGGGGGGATGAAGACCTCAGTCAACTCCAACTCAGGGTCGGCAGGTGAACTGGTCCAGGATGAGGCTCTGCAGGGTCTTCATGATGTGTGATATTGTGTTTGGGCCGATTCCTGATTTTTAAAAAGACGGCTTGTCAGAGACAAATATCAACTCTATTTTAGAAGCAGCTCATTGCACAGTCTGTTTGGAGAGAGTTTAATCCAGGACATTTTGTTACAGCTATAATTTACAGATTTTTCCTGAATGACTCACACAGGCAGTCGCAAAGAGGCTATTTTGAAAAGCAGACAGCTAAAAAGATATACTGTGTTTGTGAGAGCGAGTGTGTGTGCGCGGACTTGTTTTTGTGGCTGTGCAGCACAGGGAGTGTGTTGCAGCTTTCTTGAGAATCATTCCTCCGTGAAATTAAATAGAAACTTGTTCTGTCATCTTTGTGAGAGCCAGTTTAAGTCTTAGACCGTGAGAGAGATTACATATTGTAAAACTGACAACTTTTTGTCCAGCTCTCGTTTTTCCACATCCATTCAAACACCTGTTTGAGGCTTAACGCTTCATTTTAGGGTTATATTTGAGGTTGGGATAAGCGTTTGGAAGCTAAATGAGATGATGAAACCTTGAGTTGAGAGGCAGTCCAACAAGCCCGGCTGTATTTTAAACGAGTCCTTCTTTCTACACAGAGTGGAGCAGGCTGGACTCATTGTAGGGAAACACTGGTAACAGAGAACAAATCCAGGATAAAATGCTGAAAACACTGTTGTGGAAACACTTCTGTGCACATTTCATGATAAATATACAGAGCGACAAGAAGGCAGTGTATATTGAAAACAGCTCTTTCATTTGTCTGACTGAATTTGAATCTGTTTTCAGTGAACATACAGATGCTTTTTCTGCTGCATCATGAACGTGCACTTTTTTCATTGAAACCATGTGACAATGGGATCTTTCGTGGCAGGAGGATGGAGGGGATCATGGCCCTCGCAGTTTACTGTACATGCAGGCATGTAATTATTTAAGTACGTCTGATTACGTTTACATCAGCTTAACTAAAAGAACGATTTATGTGTTCTACGTTGTTAAAAGTGTAGAACATAAAATTAATGAAATGATGGTACATCTGTACTGTAAGAACAGTGAAGTATGGGACTAATTCTGCTGGTAACAGGAGACACTGTTGTAAAGCTGTTGGTGGAAACACATGTGACTCCATAGCAAGATTTTCTGTTGTTGTTGTTCCCACGGTGACAGAAATGCCCATTGTAGACATCAGGTTGTTAAGTCTGCAGTAGTTGAGGATTATTCAGCCTCCAAGCGACTTGTGTGTCATCTGCAGTTTCCCCGGTGGAGTTTTACTTCCTCATGTTGCTGATTGAAATAATGAGTCAAGCTTTTGATCTTCCTGGTGGTTTCTATCTGTTTAGAATACTCCCTCATCAGAGATGGCGCATCGTGTTTCCCGTCTCGGCAATATTTTTTTCACATCTCCAGCACACTGTGAAAAATCACGAGGCGAATTTACATAAGACTGAAGGCTTTCAGATAATTTGCACGCTAAGCAAAACAGAGGCTCATAAAGAAACAACTGTTTGACATGACGCTGATGTTGCACTGTAGTTGTAAACAAAATGTCAAACTAACGTTCAGCTTTGCCTTAAAAGATTTGAAAAAATGAATTTAGATAAATATTATTCTATTTCCAGGCTCGTCTACGCTGGATAGAAACATTAGGCACCAGTCTTCTGTTAATGATTCAGGCAAAAATAGGAAGATGAACAATGATCTCTTAAGCAGCAGAGATGACTTCAGACTGTATGTAAAAGATGGACACGATGATGTGACATGCTGGTCTTTAAAGCACTGAGTGAGAATTTGTCTTCGTTTTCGTTTTAATGTGTCCAAATGTGGTTTGACCACATTTAAAAACAAATGTAGCGTCATCAGCCGAGTCAGCAAGCTCAGTTACTGAGGTGCATCCTAGACTGTGTGGGTGCGTATAGTTGCCAATTAGCCTTAACATGCTAATAAATGCTAGAATTTTACAAGCACAGGTGCTTTGTACAATTTTCAAGTATTTCAATCAAAATGCTGTAAAATGTAGCAAACATGTCCCTGAAAATGCAAAGTTTCAGCTTCAAAATGATGTAACCAGGTTATGAAAATGAAGCGTACAGTCAAGGATATTTTCTGGGTGAGGGATTTTTGGCTAAAAAAACAAACAATATAAAATATGTGTGGTTATTTTTCATTATCTTAAACGTGCACAATCCAAGACGTGCTCCGCAGGTAGTGCGATTAAAAAAACTGCATGTTTTATGCGTTCCTCAGTTGGAGGAACAGGAATGAAAACAGTCTAGTAGCTTTCCTTTCGTTCCCATGCCAGATTTTCTCTGGTTCAAATTCTTCTTCATTGCTGCTCTTTTCTCCTAGCAGAGCAGTAAGTCAGTAGCTCAGGATGGGGAAATATAATGTCAGGATTGCACAATGGGACGGCACGCCTTGTGGGTTTCTTTCTGTCTTTGTGTGTGTGCCTGCATGGAATGCGGTGAGGGTAGAAAAGGAGAGCGCGAGTGAGTAAAGTCTGGGGGGGAAAAGCTGACTGATATCATATTGTTCTGTACTTGTTTTGGCTGCTGAGTTGCATCCCGGTCTGTCATGCTAGCTCCTGTTTTTGGACTTGATGAATGCATCTGGGAATCAAACTGTGCACCAGTCAGCGGCTGAGGGGATGAAGGCTTAAATGCTTTGGGTGTGCTTTACTGGGCGTAAACATGATGGTTTGTCCAAACCACATTTATAAAAGAATAGTGTCATCTGTTTGTATTACATAGACTGTATATGTAAGATGGAGGCACTTAATTACTGTGTCATAACTGAAATAGATAAAAAGCTAAAATTACCAGAGATGGAGCTCAGACTTCAGGGTGGTCTGTGAGCACAATTAACTGCTAAGTGAGTCATGTATTTTTTTTTTCTTCATACATTAAAAATTCTCCTAAATGTCCTGACACCACATTTACTTAATAAATTAAGTCATAGCCCCATAAATAAGATATTTAACAATGTCCGCTGTACCATAAATGAGTTTTGAGGCTTGTTCACACACACCGGGTTAAATCTGATCCAGTGCTGGTACCTGCACATGTGCAAAGGAGCACATTACACAGTTATTTTTGACTTGCTCATAGACGCTGAAAAGAAGTTGATGAAATTGCTACATGTGAACTTTCACTTAGAAAACATTAGGTTTGTTTTCAAGTATCAACAAGCTGAGAATTTTGTAAGATTTTGAAATTGTAAGTGCTTATCAGTCACCCATCTCCAGATTTGTTCTGGTATGGTGAAAAGAAATTCCAGTTAGGACCTTTTTCTGCTTCGGGGTGCTTTGCTGTCCTCATGTTTCCATGTGATGGCATTTTAAATGAGAAATGCTATTATTGTTTGTGCCCTTGAGAAAAGAGTCTTACTGAAAAGCTATCTGGGCTGCCAACCATGCATTCCTATCTTTGTGTGACTTCCATGGAAACATGAGAGCTGAAAAACTTGAAATGTGGACATGATGATGATGATGAAGAAGAGAAAGAGAAAGAAAAAGGGTTAAAGGAAAGAAGGGCTAAAAATGTGAGCTGTTTGTAGCAGGGACGTGTGACTCAGACTCTGATGGCTGCTTTCCACTGGAAGGCCGCGCTGTAGCCGGGATACTCCCTTAGCTACTGGACCTGCCCCATGCCCAAAAACAGAGGTGCTGTCTTGCCCCCGTCTAACCACATGCGCATACACAGACGCACACATGAATGGACAAACGTTTATTTCCATGGTGAGAAGATGTGTGCACCCACAGAGACACACAGAAAATATCAGAGCTTGATTGGACCTGTGGTACCATTAACTCCACCCCGCCGAAACAAATATAAGTCCAGATGAGCTCCGGATTGAGTGTCAGACTTTTAGCTTGTCAAGATGCCTTTTGGGAATTATTCTCTTATCATCTGGGGTTATAATATGAGAATTCCCTGGACGTTTTCCTCCTTTAATCCTTTGGATAACCTTGCTGAAAGGCTATTTTTCTGCCATGGGTAAAACGAGAACTGTGGACAAAGGTGATGAATCATATGCATGTACTCTGGATTAGTTTCATTGCCTGTGTTTATGGTGCGTTACAAGGGCTCAAGGTCACCTCTGCGTCGTTCTGCAGCAGGATTTCTTGATGGAACTGGAATTCTTCATTCATGTCTTTGGCCTTTCAGCTTGAAAGAATGTGTTCTTCAAATCAGCAGGGAGGAGCAGGGTGTAATCCGCACATTCACACACTTTCACCCACCTGGGAGCTGCTCGGTATCATCAGTGTCGCAGCGTTTTATTGACAGACCACTTGCACCAACTGCTGAGGTCAGTGTGTCTGCGAGGGCTCAGTGTGAGGGGAAAAGAGAAAGGAAAAGATAGGGCCAGTGCAGAGCGAGATAAAGCTCAGCAGCTGCTTTCTGCATGCACACACACACAGTCTGTCCTAGCCTGACTCCTCCTCGCTACCCCACCCTCTTCTCTCTTTTGCTCCCGCCCCGTCTCCCTCTTCAGCGGTAGGTACATGTGCAGTGAGCTTCGGCTACGAAAGCAGTCCAGGGCACGAGCCAAAGGAGCACACACCCACCAGCAGACAGCATTCTTCAACAGATCTGGGACTGCGATCATCTGAGGCACTGAAACCAGCAGATAAACTTCCAGAAAGATCCTGTGCTCGCACTTTTACACCCTTCAGCAGGCTGCAGTCAAAAGGCTCTCACACAGCTAAGGTAAGCTTCAGAGAGTTTCCTCATGTTTGTCTCCTGTGAGGCTTTTTCTTTATGTCTCACTGACACTGCTGCTGTCTGTGCTTCTAGTATACTTGTCATTTTGAGCTGGTTAAACTCGTTCAGTCAGCTGAAAGCTGCTTTCATTTTCCTTTTCTGAGGCATAACTTTGTCAAAGTTGTAGCTCGTTTCAGTGGCTGAAGAGCTGAACATCAGACAGCACCTGTTAATGCTCAGGAGCTGCTTTTGGAAGCTGAAATGATGCTTCATTTATTCAAAGTCAGTCCAGAGAGAGTACTCGTAAGTGTGTGCTCCTGTGGGCGTGTGCATGCATCCCACCCACGTGCATGTTCTCGCGTGCACTTTTGGTAATGAGCGAGAGGGGATGGATGGAAGAGTTTGGTGTGTCCACCCACTCCAATCTGGAGAGCCCATTCCCGCCATTTGGTGGGACAGGCTTGTTAGGCTGTGAGTGGAGCAACTGCTGACAAGTAGAGTAGTTTTCAGTCTCACCTGTTTGGCCACAGTTACTGATAACAGTGCTGATAAGTCTCGTTGAGAAGTTTCGTCAAAGCCTCATAATTTGATTTGTAGAGCTTCTCCCTTTGCGTGTTTCGTTTGTAAAATTCTCTTATATATGTATGTATGTATTTATTTGTGGGTGTGGCTTGCTTCCATGCATTTTTATTTTAATTCGTTTTGTATACTTTTCCAGTGAACTGTAAGCTCTGAAGCTTTTAAGGTTTCGATGTAACACTCCTCATATTAGGATGGATACTTGTCCATATCAGGGCATCCTGCAGCAATCGTTTAGATTATGAGTCAACACTTTGGAATTATATTGAGCGCTGTTGCTAGTGGCTGTGGGCAAAATGATCACCACTGAACATTCTGATCTCTAAACAAATAAAAGCATTTTTTACCAGAGTCTCTGTGGATGGCAGAGCAGCATGGTAATGCCTTGTTTTAGTGTCCCTGGTTACAACTGCATATTTTCACTGTAATTATGAGAGTGTTTACAGCCTTGCAAAAGGTATGTGGGTTGGTCTTTGTGGGAAATGTGTTGAGCAAGCTGCGTAAAGTGGTTTAACAGCACCTACAGCAGTTTAATGTAGCTGAAGCAGAGCGGACGGTGAGGTTATCACAGTGGGTTAGTTTGTTTTGGAAATATCGACATGAATGTAAAAGGGAGCAGGAAACAAGTGAAAAGGTAGCTGTGATAAGTTCAGCATTATCTTTTTTAGCATATGCTTCCCAAAAAAATCAAAACGAGTTAATAAAACAAATCTGTGAGCAGACGGAGGACTGGAGGCGGACAGATAAGAATCACTGTGGTGCAAGACTGGAGCCTTTCTTCGCTTTCACCTCAGTTAAAGTTTAACTTGTGATTCAGCCATTAAATCAGTGCAGTGTGTTTCTGTGGAAGGCAACCTTGATACTCTTCTCATTAAGTCTTCCTCCTCTCCCACAGCCGGTGACTCACCCCATCTGCGTCTCTTGCTGAGCCATTATTACCATGGAAACCCCGAGCCAAAAACGCACCAGCCGCAGCGCCGTCTCTCCGGCCCGCATCACCAGGCTGCAGGAGAAGGAGGAGCTGTGCAACCTCAACGACCGGCTGGCCGTGTACATCGACAAGGTGCGCTCCTTGGAGTCGGAGAACGCCGGGCTGCGGTTGCGCATCAGCGAGTCTGAGTCCTCGGTCACCCGTGATCTGTCGGGCATCAAGACGGCCTATGAGACGGAGCTGGCGGATGCCCGCAAGACTCTCGACCAGGTGGCCAAGGAGCGAGCACGCCTGCAGCTGGAGCTCAGCAAGATCAAGGAGGAGCACAAAGAGCTCAAAGCCAGGTAAGAAGAGCAAATGGGCGTGGACTTTCTTCCTAATAGCCAGGAGGGGGCGACTGCCCAGTTTTCAAGAATTGGTCCAGTTGTATAGAAGTCTATGAGAACGTGCCCTCACTTTTTTCCCTGTTGTTTATGTTCCCAGTCGCTGATTTTAAGTCCTATTTGATACAGCATCACGCTTGTTGTGGGAATAAATGCCTACTTTGTTACTAACATCTGAGCATGCAGAGTCCTTGTTAGTCAGATCCAAGAAGGACCAAAAATAAATGCTAAAATGCAACCTTCAAAACAAATGTTCAAAAACCAGCTGGTCGGGATAGCTACACCCATCTATCAGACAGTTGCTATTGTACTGACATCACATTGTGGATGTAAACTACACTGTAACTGATTTCATGTGTAAATAAGTTAACATATCAGAAGCACACACTGATGATTTTGTGCATGTGCCATTTCTCTTCAGAGGACAGATGAAAACAAACACTGATGCAGTTTTGCTTCAGAGTCAGGGGAACCACTGGGAATGATCCATAAATCTTTCAAGCAGCAGCACACTGATGATGTAACGTTTATCTGCCGTTGTGTGGGATCTGTGTGGGGGAATTCCCTGACTTTCTGCCAAGTGATTCCACAGTAACTTTGATATGTTCTCGTATTCCTCCTGCTGCATAAGAATGATGCTTTTCAGATTATAGGTCAGCAATTTTTACTTTGTGGCGCTGTAAAAAACGATGAATCAGATTGTTATATGGGGACGCGTTAAGGATTCCCTGGCGTTGTTACTGCTGAGCGTCAGCCAGCGCAGGTTTGTCTTCTTTTAAAATATGTCTTCAAACCCTGTCGGTGTGTCTCGTAGCAGCTGGTTAAACTACAGTGAATGTGATGTGAACGTGTGGATGCAGCTGCTGTGATTTTACCTTTTGTGCTGCAATACTTTGAATTCACACCCTGTGTTGCATGAACAGCTGAGGAGGTGCAACACCCTGTCGTCTGTGGAATGCGGTGTGAGATGTGCAGCCAGATCCAACATCAGGGCTGTAAATGTCATTCCTGAGTTTCAGTTTTCAGGTGCAGTCATGTCACTTCAGTCCCCGTTGAAGGAAAGGACACACCTCCAGGCAAACAGGCTGAACACAGCCTGCTCTGCTGAGCTGGAATCACTGTCCCCGTGACAGAATGTCGACTCACAGCTTTACACACGGCGAGATTACTTTGCACAGGTGCATGAAGACTTTAGAGTTTTGGCATTTGTGAATTGAGTTTCGTACTGAAGCATGAAATTGAATGAAAAAGTAGCCGAGCTAACAAAATGCAGTCTAATTTTACTGTTTTTGTTTTGTTTTGTTAAATTCTGTTGCGTGGTGGAAGTGAAGAACACGCATGTCTGTCATTCATCCTTTATTTGAAACTTTCAAAGCACAGGAGTTAAGGAATGGTGGACAATGAACCAAACCACTGTGAGGCACATGAGAGGGAGTCATTATTTCAAAACTTACACAACTCTGTACTAAAATGAAGAGTTTTCTGTACATATTGGTATATTTTTTAGCATTGTGTCATATTTACAATGATGCATTGAGCAAACGGTATCCATGGCTGCTTGTTCCCAGATACTAATCAAGCTAGGCTACGGCATTCGTCACTACATCTAAATGAGGTTAGGAAGCGGAATGGAAACGGTTCCATTACAGTAGGTGGTGACGCTGCATTCATTATTTGAAAACAACATTTAGAGGAAACCCTGTGTGTAGCTTGGCATGCAGGCTGGTGTTATTGGAGGAGTGTTGGAGCCGAGGCCACATTATCAAGCAGCTCTAACAGCTTCAGCTAGCTGAGGAGCTATTAGGATTGTGAGCAGATTTTTTCCCCTGTAAGTCGCCCCGAGTCCACAAAATTTCCGACTCGATGCCTTACTGAATGTCTGCGCGTCTTCAGATGTTGGGGGAGTCTGTCGGCAGATCAGACTCAGCCAGCAGTGCTGCCCAGGAATGTGTTGGCAGCAAAGTTCATGTTAGAGAAAGAGAAAATGCAAAATACCGACTCGCTGCACTCTAATTCTTTACAGTCAGCACTTTGTTTCCTGATTGCTCCTCAAACCAAAATCATTTTTTCAGGAATAAAGTAGCTGCGTTTTCGTGTGTGTGTGTGTGCGTGTGTGTGTGTGCGTGTGTGTGTGTGCGTGTGTGTGACCACAAATTTAACGACTCCTTTGATCTGATTAGTCGCTAATTGCTTCCTTTTCAAAGACTTGACGTTTTATTGCATCTGAACCAGAGATGGGCAGTAACGTGTTACTGTAATCCGATTACTTTTTTCAAGTAACAAGTAAAGTAAGGGATTACTATTGTAAAAAATGGTAATTGGATTACTGTTACTTTCCTGTAAGCACGTTGCATTACTGTGTTACTAAAGCCGTGGGGGTTGTTTTGCTTTTTTTTGCGAGAGTGTCTCATGACAGTGACGTAAGCGAGTGCGACGTTCGTGGCAACAGCTGTGTGCAGATCAACAATGGATAATATATTGAGTGCGGAGAGAGTATGAGCTGCAGCGTTTAAAGCGTGGAAGTACTGACCTTACTTTGAGTTTGAGTCCATAAAAGGTGACAAAAACATTAGTGTCCGTTGTTCACTTCATGAGAAGAAAACTTCTTTTTACAGCGAAAAACCGCTAAACTTGATTACACAAATCAATCAGCTAGCCTCCACAGCAGCGGTAATATAAGATCCATAACTCTGCGGGAAATGCGTCTTTAGTGTGGCTTGCCTTTCTTTGAGTGGTCCTAAGCTCATCAGCTTAATACATATTGCATTCAGCAGTCTTTGCCTTATCACAGTGCTTCTTGCCTGCAGGAGCAACCACGGCTCCCACAGCAGTTTTACTTTCCTAAGGAGGCAGATTCTTTTGATGCATGTGTGCTGGAGTCACTCAGTCCGGCTTGAGCTGCCTTTATCTGCTAGACTTTAAGTGGCGTGTTTGCTGTTTGGTTTCCATGGTGCTGTGGGAGCCTTGGCTCGGCTGTGTGACGGGGTTGTGACTCAGAGCCTTTTTTCAAGGCCTCTGGAATGGGCTGAGTGGACTCTCTGTGACGGGAAGTCGGCTTTATTAATACACACCGACGGGCTGCTGTGACGCTGCTGGGCTGGGCGACAGGCGGCGACAGCAGCAGCAGAACGAACGGACGGCTGTTAAGTCTCACAATGTGTTGACTTTTCGCTGGTGTCCTTGCTTGTTGCTCCCAAACATGACACAGCAACAGGTGGAGCCTTCAGTGCAGTTCGGCTGACAGGACACGCCTGTTCAGCCCAAAGGCAGACACACACACGCCTTTGTATGCAGAACAACCGCAGGGGACACATGCTTTCATCCCCTGAAGCGAAGCAACAAGGGGTCAGAACGACAACCTCTCTCATTGATAATTTAAAATTGTGGTGAAAAGCAGGTGTGAGGGAAAATTTAAAACAGGTCTAAACTTAAAGCCTGGAGCCACTTGAAATGGCTCAGGTTTGAAAACCAGGCAAAGCTACACTAAAGAGGAGACACGTTACTGTCAAGGTCTTTTTCATTGAATACTTGGAGCACTGCACCTGCGTTGTCTCACGTAGAGTCTAAAGTCTAGCTGTTTGTATGAGGGTGTTATTGCAGGGTCATTTTTAATCCTTAACCAGGCTGATAAAGGAATTATTGGTCATCATATTACATTTTATTTTAGCTTTGTGCTGCTATGCAAACTACACTAATCTAAGCATTTATATAATAAGCTCTTTATTTATAGACGACCTCTCAAAATCCACAGTACAAAGTGTTTCACAGGGGCAACAAAATACAGCCATCGACCCTGAGGTTAGATATCCACGATTGTCCCCTTGAACTTCGATTATCCATTAAAAGATTGCTTCAGAATGCCATTCAAGTGGAAACTGACAAGACAAACACTGGAATTGTGTTTTAACACTGAACAGCAGAAGGCTCTGAGTTAAGTTGAAGCGTCAGGTCTTTGGTCTGCTGCAGGAAAACACAAAGAGGGAATTTTGTACTGTGGATTTAAACTTAAGTGAATGAAACCTCATATAAAGCTCATATTTACTAATGATTACTCACCACAATACGAAGGCTCTTCTCCTGTATTGCTGTAAGAGCAGGAGAAGTTATTACAGCCAACAAAACCGTTTTTCAGTGTTTATATGGAAACAACTTTAAATACTGTCAACTGTAATGATGTAAGGTTTATATTCACCCATCGGCCACGACACTAAAGAAACTAGGGCTGAACGATTATGGAAAATAATCTAATTGCGATTTTTTGCGCCCAAATAGCGATTGCGATGCGATATGCGATTATTTTTTAAGGTCTTTGTCTTCTGTATTATTAAACAAAGACAAGCAATACATCATATAGTATGGCCAATACTATATTACATTAATTTTAAACTGTTCTTTCCTGGAAGACAGACCTCTGTTATGATGACATGAGGTGATGCATGAATTGATGACTGACATTTTTATTTAACTTCTTCAATCACAACAGTATATTTGAACATACACAATAGTTTATTTTTAGCTTACAAACATCTGAGCATAAAGTGCTGACAAGGAACCCTGGTGTAAACATTAAAATGAAAGTCAGTACAATGTGCAGATTGCAGAAATATACATAAAAAAAATCAGTGGCTTTACCACACTCAGTTTTTCGACATCTGTGAACTACTAGACAGTCATTCAATTAAAAAATAATATTAAATAAATAAAACTAATAAATAAAAAATACACACATCTTACTGATCTCTGCAGTCAGTAACATTACACATAAAGTGCAAAAAGGCGTTAAATTGGACGGTCTAGTTCTGATTAGCGTCACCGCTGTCTCGGTGGAGTTTAATAAACTCGGCCGTCTGCTTCTTGCTATCTAAAATATAACCAGACACTGGTGTAAATTCTCGACTGTCTCATACTTCTGTTTAATAAGTTTTCTGTTTGACGTTTAGTCAGCTGTGTGAAAACCAAGG